CAACATTTTAGCAGAGAACTATTAAAACCTGTCCATTGCACAAGAAATGGTAGTGGTAACACACAAATAAACTTCAATGTCCTATGAAGAGTGTGTCTTTCCCTGTTTTTATTCAGCTGATACTGTGCTTTAATTCATCATCTTTAGCCTGATTCCTTTGGTCTGCAATAACTAAAATATTTGTACATTTTTTTAAAAATGTAAATAATTAAACTACCCAGTGAGCTCCAAAGGCAGCTCTCGACCACATAAAATCTCCCACTGCCTAGCAAGCAAGGAGATCAGTTTCTCACGACTGTCTGGACTTGGGATAAAGACACACCAAAGGACTTCTCGGCTGTTGTTGACTTCAGTGGTAACCTGCCCTTTAGGAAAACTGATAACATTGCCAAAGTGATCTAGGGTCATATTCTGCATGAGGTCTTGACTCTGAATATCATCAAACACAAATGTGAGAGCCTGAGGGTATGTCTGGTAACCCATAAGTACTCGGTCTAAGTCTCGGATCCTTCTTCCATCTGTAAGTTGGTATTTGTCTTTCTTTGGTGGTTCCTTAGCAAATTCAGGTAGTGGGTAACTGATGTAATCTTCATTGAACAGAAACAGATCTGAACTGGTTAAGATAAGTGTTTTAGGTTGAAGTGAGCTGTTTGACTGAGCAGTCCCTTCTGTAGCATTCACTTGAAATGCCAACACATAGAGGAGTATATTCAGAGACTGGACATTAATCACATTGTTCATCTTCTCTGCTACTAGAAAGGTAAGATCCCCAATTTCTTCTTCATTGGGATATATAAACTTCACTCGGCTAGAGTGAATCATTTCATAATTCTCCATTTTTCCTGCAAACATAAATATGCATAACTTAAATTTTGCATTTGTTATGTAAAACATTTCTACCGAAGGAAAAACTAAAATCAGGTTTAAGTCACTTTATATATTTTTACCTGAAAATTCAAATGAAGCTCTTTACTGGACAAGCCAAAATGAGGACTATAAAATTAACTCTTTACCTGATAAACACAAACCAGGACCGATAGAGCACTACAGGTGGAAAGAAACTAAACTGTAATCAGGAAGTCACCACTTCTACCATAAATCTGTTAAGATGCCTTACACAAGTAGTTTGCTCTCAAGTCTTAGACCATCGCACCCTATTCCAACCTAGTGGTGAATACATGGATGATCCTGTAAGGTACGTCAGTTTCAAATTAGGAATTACTGAAATAATATACACAAAGCAATTTGATAAGTATAAACTTCATCACATTTAGTACATTATTCCATGGAATTTAGGCTGGGAAACATAACTGTCCCTCTAAATATTTTACAGAAACTGAACTGTGCAAACACAACTTCATATTGCCTTCTGGTGTGTGCTTTATAGTCATGTTACACCAATCTAACACTGGCTTCCAATATGTTTCGCAGTTCAATTCAAGGTGTGTCCTTATCTACAAAGCTCAAATGTTTTGAGGCCAGAATACTTGAAAAATATGAACTTGGTCACAGTTTAAAATTTTCTTCAGATATGCTGTTAGACGTCCCACCATGAAGACAATTTATGTTGATGGGAATGCAGCACAGTCTTTTTTCTGGAAGCAGCCCGATCGTGGAAGTCCATACCTATAGGAGTCTAGACTGGTCCACTCTTCCTCATTTTTAGGTGAGCAGTACAACCATTTCTGTTCCATTCAAAGTTTTAAATGATTCTGTTCTCTGGCTGTTTATTGTAAGCTGTTGTGCACACTCCCTTAGGGACCCAAAAAGGGCATGAATTTGGTTTATAAATATTTAGATAAATATGTAAAGCCTGTGAAGAAGCCTACACTAAGACAGTAATTGGCTCAAATCATCTACTGAGTTTCATAACTGAACAGGGATTTAAATTGGGTTGTCCCAAGCCTAGTCAAATGGTAATAAAAATCATTTTGTTCTGTTCTTCTGCACACTTACAAACTTGGAGGGTAGACAGGAGGAGAGCAAGAATAAACAACAACAACAAATTTGCATACATGTAATAAAGAAATAAAATGTCTGAAATGTTTCTAAATTGTTTTACCTGTATTTTTCTTTCCAAATTCAGAGTAGAAGTCCTTATCCACTGGCTCTGGTGATGGTGTCCTTGCCAGTAGTGAGAGCACTGCCATGAGATGTTGGATAAAGTCATGAGTGCTGTAACTGTCTCTGGTGAGGCAAGTTAATATATGTTCAGCTGAACGACCTGAAAGAGACAGAACCAAAGTTGCTTCTAGTCCTACTGTAATATTACTGTGGACTTTACGATAGACATTATTTATTAATAACTTTTGTTATTGCAATGTTTACATCACAAGTGTGTACAATATTGCACAAAAAAACTGAATTGGCAAAAAACAAACAAACCTAGAGCAAAAAGTTACAATGATTAAAATAACATCCAAACTAAAATTTAATATTTCTACTTGAAATTTCTCAATATATTCAGCAGATTCCAGAACACTGAAGTAGTATTTTGAAAACTTGTAATAGGGAAAAACAATTTGATTTAGTGCCCAGTAATATAAAAATATTTATAAAGCACTATCAGTGTATACCTTTCTTAATTCTGTAAGCAGGGATGAACAAATAAATTGATCCAAGAAATAATGATGTTAGGAGGGAAACAGACAATAGAAAAGAAGGGGGGAAGTAACACCTATTTACTTACCAGCAAGTCGAAAATACTGATCAAAAAGTCCAATGTTTACTGAGTGCAGATCATTCAATTTCAGAACTAAGCAGCAAGAGAGGTAGAAAGAACTGAATTCACAGTCCAAGAGACCTTTGTTCCATAGACCTATTGAATGGAGAATACTTGCATAAAATTCTTTTCTTCAAGAGATCTGAGAGCTGTTTTCAAATCTCAGAAAGTCACAATTCATCATCATATTCTATCACTTAACTCAAAAGCTCCTACTAAAGACAGAATAAATTACATGTTGATCTAGCTAATAAGCCTTTATTTGCAGAGATAAAACTTTATGAGAGAGATGATTCTGCATTGAGAGAATTAGCAGGAAAGAGGAAAAGATGGTTTATTCACAACCCCCATTGCCTTTTCCAGACCCATTTCACTTATTTCCGTTTTTTAGAGCTGGGGGGTAGGATGTTTGGTCAGTCATATGGGAAGGGTTATGTGAGAATTAAGAACTCTGCCCTTAATCTACCAATTCTCCCTTGAATGTGCCTTGTCATTCTTGCATTAATGTTACAATGAAAATGTAAGGTTCCCAAATCCTGCTGCCACATATTTCTACTATAAAAAAAGGTTTTAATTCATAATCTATTCAACAATGAAACATGTAATCACTGCCTTTTAAAGTATTCTGTACCCAGTACCATTTTCTGTGCTTTCACAAATTCACAATACACATCAGAAGTGATCTGTTCTAGTGAGCACTGTTTACTCTCTTAATAAATGTGGATCTTCATACAATGTATGACAACACACATTCTAGGCTAGGAATATAAGCTGTGGAGGAGGAAAAGTTTCAGCCTCCCTGTTCTGAGCAAAAAACATCTTTATCAGACCTCACAAATTTTATTAAAAGCCATGAACCAACCTATTCTCATCTTACCTAACTGATGCTCATTAGAATGACTCACAGAATCATCTAACAAGAAGTAAATAGCTTTAGTTGAAAGTAGCACACAAGCTGTCACTTCCATATCAGGTGCTTTATAAAACATAACAGATGACCACATGAGATACCTTAGCTCTTCATTTTCCACCTATAATATAGAAAATGGAATTAATCAGCTATTTAAGCATAGCCTTAGATTTTTCTCATCTGTGGCTTGCCCCTGTTGTAATGTAGCAACTCCTCACATTTTTACATAACTGTGTCCCATATTTAGATTCTTCATGTAATCAGGGGTGAACACTAGAGAATTTGTATCACAGAGTTCATATTTCCTTGAAAATACTGTTGTTTCTGTGATCCTTAAAGTGGCATATCTATTTATTATAGTAATTATATAAGTATACATAGCTGCTGAGCTTTACTAGTTCTTTAAAAAAAAACCCAATGGTAAATATTGTACATTTATTCTGAACAAGGGCACTTTTTCATTTACCTGTCCTATAATTTTTGGCCAACTAAAAAGCAGTCTAGTGCAGCATCACCCTTTAATAATAATAATAATAAT